CATTTGAGAACCCTAGGAGAATGTCTTGAAGAAAAGGGAGGTCAAATTTTGGGGTAAAGGAACCACATGAGGAAGACACAAGTGTGATGAGTCAATCAAATGAACATCATTTCTTATACTTGGAAAAATTTCCCAAATCTTCAAAATTGCTTCTTTTACAAGTAAACTTGGTTTCAAGGATTCTAATGGGTCAAACTCAATCAATATCCATGTTCACTCGTCAATTGAATTTTAAACCTAGATTTTGACCCTTTGACTTTATGTTGACCTTTTGAATCAAATGACTTGTGATCTAATACTCTTGACGAAATAAGAGACTTGATGATGTGGAGAATGTAGCAAATCCTAGCCAGAGTGAGATCAACCAAAGTAGAATTCCTAACTTGGTACCCATGGTTCTTGACACTTGAGACCACCTTAATTAATATATTGAGGAGTTGGTGAACTTTCGAGAATTAAGAAAGATTGGGGAATGTATATGCCTGAGTACCACATTGACTGATGACTTTGAATAAATATAAAACCCTAATTTCAATGGTCCTTGATTTCCAATGTCAAGCCTTGTTGTTAGTGAATACATGATGTGTTAGAGGATCTAATGGAATGTATGCACGTGAGATTCATGAGATGCATAAGCCAGATTATTTGATTAATGGGCAGGACAAATTTGGGGTATGACAATATTTCTAACGGGAAGCTGTCCAGAAAGTATAATCAATTTCAAGGAGGTACTGATGAATGAATTTGAGATGACTGATCTGGGAAATATGGTATACTTTCTAGGGATGGGGATTGTGTACTCGGAGAAGGGTATCATTTTTCATTAGTTGAAGTATGAACTTGAGCTTCTGAAGAGATTTAAGCTGCAGAATTGTAAAGTTGTTGTCACACCATCAAAAACCAATCATAAATTGGATTCTGACTCTGATGGTGAAGATTTGGATGCTACAAACTTCAAACAGTTGGTTGGTTCTCTAAGGTATTTGTGTAATACCAAACCTGATATTTGCTATGCAGTTGGAATGGTTAGTAGGTTCGTGAGTAAACCTAAGTTGTCCCATTACCAAGCTGTTGTTAGGATTCTGAGATATATCAAGGGGGCTCTGAAGTTTGGAGTACTATTCCCTTCTGGAAGAAAAACATATTCAGAGTTGACGAGTTACTCTGATTCTGATTAGTGTGGAGATAAAGTTGATAGAAGAAGTACTTCTGGATACTTGTTTAAATTTCTGAGAGGTTCTATTTCTTGGTGTTCCAAGAAGCAATCTTTTGTTTCTCTATCAACGTGTGAAGCTGAGTACATTACAGGTGTTGTAGCTGCATGTAAAGTTGTGTGGCTTCTGTATCTATTGCAGAATCTGAAGATCAACGTAGATAAGCATATGAAGCTGATGATTAACAACAAGTCTGTAATCAATCTTTCCAAGAACCCAGTACTACATGGAAGAAGAAAGCATATTGAGATAAAATATCATTTTCTCATAAGTCAAGCCCAGAACGGAGTACTAGAAGTTATGCATTGTAGCACCCAGAAGTAGCTGGCAGATATTATAACAAAGGCAATCAAGATGGACCAATTTCTTTGCTTAAGGAATGAAATTGGTGTAGTTAGTTTTAATTAGAAATTCTAAATTAAGGGATGATATTAAAGGATATTTCAGTATTTCTAATTGTTTTTGATAACTTAGTTATTAAGTTTATTCTATTAGGGCCTATGTGACATTCCTTTTTGTGTATAAATAGAATAGTTGTAAATGTCATAAAAATAAAAACATTTTATTTCTCTTGCAGCTTTTACAATCGTCATTCTCTCTACCTCTTAAATATATTCCTTTAGTTCATCATTAATTCTTGTGCACTAACACTCTCATCCCTTTGAGATCAACACCATCTCATCATCTTCTATGATTATTTTCTTTCTTTTGAATTTTTGTTGGTTTTGATGACTTAACTAAAGGATCTAAACTAAACTGTTTGAAATAAATCATCATCTGATGGACCCGTTTACCAAGAAAACCAAAAGCTTAAATGGACAAAGATAGGCCAAGATTTTGCAATTGTGGTTTCAATCGGATTGGCATTTTTGATTCGTCACGAAACAAAATTGATCGGTTGTCCACCCCTAATTTAGAGCTAATGTGGGAACATGTATTGTTCTAGTCTAGGGTGGGACCTACCTCACTTAGTTCAATCAGTGTACAATATCCAATTAGCATACTAGCAACATTGGCCATCAGATTTATGCATAGGTTCAAGAATACAATAAAAATACCTACACTGAGTTAATGATTTGAAAACCATGAGTAAATATAATGTTAACATTTTATCATCGTATCAAATCAAGGTCAATCAAGCACTTAAGAATCGTTGGATCAAACAAACAACATGATGCTCAACAATTGACCATATAGGACAAAGTGTCCAAGAAGAAGTTTCTAATATTTTGCGGTCTTGAGACGATCATATCTTAGAAGTAAACATGATTAGAGCTGATAAAACTCTAGAGACCGTCAAAACATACTTTAAAGGATCTTCTGACAACAGTCCTTTAAGATAATTGGGAGACACAAAATGTTCTAAGTCCTTGAAAATTTTAGAACCTCACAGTAAAAGAAAATCGATGAATCAATCTCAAGCACATATTATTCTAACCTAAAATGCAATATTTATGTTTGTCACTACCTTAAGTGTGAAAGTGTTTACAGTACATTTCCCCGCCGTAACAACAAGGCAAAAGAACGTTTTGAGAGTTCACCACCAAACCCTTATTCTTCAACAAGTGAATCAGGAAGGTCGTGAACATGTTTCAGGATGGTACCCTTTAGCCCCGTAGCCTCGACTTGTGACTACTTTTATGTTACACACACAAAAAAAGTCTCACATTACTTAGAAATAGAGACCAATAGTAATTTATATACAACACTCATACTATTGAATTCAATATAAAAAAAAAACATTGTACTCTATTATTTTATTTATAAAAAAATATTATTTTTTAAATACATTGAATAATTAATGTATATGAACAATATATATATATATATATATATATATATATATATATATATATATATATATATATATATATATATATATATATATATATATATATATATATATATATATTATATATATATATATATATATATATATATATATATATATATATATATATATATATATATATATATATATATATATATATATATATATATATATATATATATATATATATATATATATAATATATATATATATATATATATATATATATATATATATATATATATAATTTATTAATTATTCAATTAATTTAAAAAATAATTCTTTTTATAAATAAGGCCAAAGGAAGTAATATTTAAAATATAAAAAATACAAACACAACTATATATTCATAAATCTTTAAAGCAAGAAAATCTTATCACGGTATTTAACACACATCTATATCATTACACTCATACTATATATGTTGAAAAGTTTTAGAAATGTTTTATCAAACAAGCGTCCTTTCAAAAATGATTTTTTTTTCTTCTATAGTTTAACATTTTTAAATCAATATCCTACACTTGTTTAATACTCACCCAATATAGGTTGGATCAGAGGTGTTCACTCAATATGGGTTGGATCACTCAATATAGGTTGGATAAGAGGTGTTTGCGGTGTGGTTTGAGCGGTTTTGAGAAGAAGAAAAATTACTTGAATTATAAGAGAAAAAAAAAAATTTGATTTTGTTCGGTTTAAAAATAAATTTGAACCAAACCAAATTAAATTAGTATTGTTTAAATTAGTTCGGTTGATTCAGTTTTTTATAAAAAAAATATTAAACCATAGATAAATATATAGAAAAAAAATATAATTTTGTGTTTAATTGTTCATATTATCATAAAAAAATTATAATTATCAAAATAAATTTATAATTTGATATATAAAATTTTGTATTATAATTTTATCTAAATATAAAGAATGATATAGACAAAATTTCATTCTTAAATAAATATTATACAAAGAATACGAAAAAATATATTTTGTGAAAATAATATTTATAAATGAATAATATTTTATTTTTTTAATGATTTGTAAATTAAAATAAATATCATACAAACTATGATAAAATATACACATAATATATATGTTGATTTCTCTATCGAATTAAAAAATATATATATTGGTTAGTAAGATTTTATAAACATAATACGGTTTTGTTTGATTTGATTTGGTTTACAAAATACAAACCGAAAATCAAACCGAACCGTACGATTCCGTTAGAAAATGAATCAAATACATTCGAATAAAATATAATTTTTTACAGTTTCAATTTAGTTCAGTTCAATTTTATGACTCTCTATTAAACCGATTTGATTTTGAACACTCCTATATTAAACTATTAAAATAAGCGTTTTAAAAAAATTATATATTTCTTTCTTTTAACAAATTTGATATATTTTTAAACAAATTTCACAAACAACTAAAATGCTTAGAGTAATATTTAAACGGTTTAATGGATACGAATATGTAAAATAGTAAATCAATATTTTATCATGTTATTAAAAAAAATAAAAATAAAAAAAAATAATGTGTCTCGATACATGATCATAATTGATTAAAAATATAAAATTAATTTATATTATAAGTGGATCACCTATTATTTCATATTTTAATTATTTTCAACGTATCTGCTTCATTCAACTAGAAAGAGAAAACAACAGCAAGGAAAGGAAACAGAAAAATCGATTAAAAAAAAATCCGATTGAACAAGTTTTTCTTTTGGACAGAACTCAGTAACAGAACATACAAAACCTGTGCAATTAAGATCCCCAAGTTCCTAATTCTCAGCCACAGAAAATTCCCAAATAAAAAGAAGAAACAATTTATTATTATATTTCAAAAGTCAACAAAAATCTCTATAATTTTTTCGATCAAAAATTCGTTTTAGTTTCTTAATTTTCATATCTAGTATAAGCCTTATAATCATATCATATGAATCCTTTGATTTTAAAGTGCTAAAGTGCCATAATCCCAGTTGAAAACATTTGATCCTTTGTGTATGAAGAACTTGGCAACTCCATAGCCTTTGAAGCTTCTGATCTACACTTCTCTTTTCTCTCATCCATCATTATTTGTTTCGAACGACACTCTGTGCTGCAAAATCCTTTGTCTCCTCTACACACAAAAATTTACCCATAATCAAATTTTAAAGCCCATATAATATGAAAAAAGTGTCTGAGACTATGTGTCAGATTAAATCAACTCAGTTGATAGTTATGCAGAAACGGTTGATAGGAAAAAAAAAATACCTGTACATGAATATGTCTTTGCCATCGAGATTCATTTTGCATAAATGACAAGAATTGAGAAAATCCAAAGTGAGAAAAGACGGTTCAGCTTCAAGGAAAGTTTGTGTTGGTGGGGATCTTCGGAAAACACCAACGTTGTTGTTTTTCGAGGTATTATTATTACTACTATTATAATAATAATCATGTCTCAAAATTCTACTTTCTTCACCACCATCATAAAATACCTTAGTGATGGGTTTGTTAGATTCATCACGGTATGTAACATACGTGTAATCTTCAGGACTTCCAACAAGAATCTCGTTTTCACAAAATTGATTCTGTGGATGCTTTTGATTTTGGATTGGGATTGGTGACGTACAAACATGTTTTGGAACAACCTCGTACCCGGTTTCCTCGGATTTATCAAGAGCCACCACGATTCCAAGACCAACACCACCACCAAATTTTGGTGAATGGATTTGCATCCTTGAATTCATTTCAAACGGGCTTCTTGGGCTTCCGATTGTGTCCAAAAGCGCGGTGGCAGTTTCACCGAAAACTAACAATTCTGAGAATTTTCGGATCAAGTGCTGGGATCTCTTACCCAACAACATGATGAAAACAATGATTTTTGAGATATTAGAAATTGTTGTTGTGAAGAAAATGTGAAGGGTTTTAATGAGAGTGATGTGTTTTTATAAAAGCATTTTGTTATGGGTTGAAAAATAATTGATGGTTTTTGGTATTGGAATAAGCCCGCTGTTTCATTTGGAAGTATTCGGGTGATGATTGCTAGAGATATGCCCAACAATTATTATTTTATTTTTTTATTTTATTTAAATAATTTAATATTGTTTAATGATTGTAACATTGATAATATTAATATCATTCAATAAAATTATATCATTATGTTATATCATATAAATCGTTAAAAACTTTCTATTTGAAATGTTCAAATATTAAATCGTTATTGGTTGATAGTATTAAATAAATTTATATTTTTTTAAAATTTAAAATTTATTGATTTATATTACTCCTTTAAAGAGATGACTACCATATACTGTAATTATTATATATTTTTTGAAAATTATTATATATAAAAAGGTCACTTTCCAGTGGCCCAGTTTTTTGAAAATGTCATTTTCAATGATTAAGATGTACTATAATACAAGTATATAAAAAAACTTAAAATATGGTATTTAGACATTTAAAAACCGACTATATATTCTTGTAATATTCTCCATTTTAATTATATTAAATTTTTTATTAATTATAAGTTTTTTATAACATCAATAAAATATTAATTCTATTTTTTATTATATATTATATCTTATATTAATTTATTTTTCAATTTTTTAATTTATTAATAAATAATACTTTTGTAAAATAAATTATATATTAAAACATCAATAAAATATTGTTTTAGACGATTCAAAACCGACTATATATATATATATATATATATATATATATATATATATATATATATATATATATATATATATATATATATATATATATATATATATATATATATATATATATATATATATATATATATTATAAGTTTTATTATAATTTTGTTAAAATATTATTTTATTTTTTTGAAAAAAAAGCCTATCTTATTAACTAAAAAACAGGTAAACTTGGATTCAAGCAAACTCCAATAATTTTCTTTATTCTTTATTATGTATTATATTATATATTTATTTTTTATTTTTATTTTTTAATTCATTTGTTTTAATTTAAAAACAAATAATACTTTTGTAAAATAAGTTATATATTCTAACATCAATAAAATATGGTTAATAAATATTATTTTTGTAAAACATCATATATTATAATATCAATAAAATATGGTTTTTAGACAAATGAAAACCGACTACATATTCTCGTAATATTCTTTGTTTTAATTATATTTTTTTTTGTAATTTATAATTTTTATTATAATGTCATAAAATATTATTTTATTATTTTATTATTCCTTTTATTATTTATTAATTTAGTTTTTCCAATTTTTATTTCACCTGTTCAATTTATTAATTAATAATAATTTGTAAAAAATGAGTTATAATATCTATTTTTTATATAAAATTATATTTTTAATTTGTATAAATTTATGAATTTAACAAATATATATTGATGATGTAAAATAAATTTTACATAATCGTTCAATAAAAAATTACTACTTCAATATTCCATATAAATATTTTTAAAATACATATATGATTTAACAACACATTACTCGTTACTCATTAATTAACAATATAAAATTATTTTACATCGACATTTAATTTTCTCTAAAATTATCATATAATTTATAATTTGAATTGGAAGTTTTATAAAATATAATTAGAATACATTTGTAAGAATCTAGCTAGAAGAGTCAAAGAAAAAATCCTAGATATTTAATAAATGCCAAAAAGTGTGTATAAACATTATTTCAAAAGACTTATATCAAATAATGTAGATCAGTATATGCATTTTAGTATTTAGATTCCTATATTATAATGCAGGCAGTAGAGGAAATTCAAATTTTAATATAAAAAATTCAAACAAAAGTTATTGTACTCTTTTTATTACTATAAAATTCTATTTTAAAATAAAATATAAATAAAAGTGGTAATTTAGAAATCTATGGATAGATTCAAAATATGTACTATACATTAGCTATTCTTTGAACTTATATTTTAATTTGAAGGTAGTAAATACGAAAGTTTTATTATTGTTTAATGATAATTATTTTTTGTCAAGAATCTATATAACTCTCTATGTTTATATTATAATTTGTTTTGGAGAAAAATTGTATATTAAATTATAAATTGTTTTACAATATTAAATAATATAAAAAATATTTTTTTTATTATATTTTTAAATATTTATTATTCTTTTTTTTTTAATTTATATTTCTCATATAATTAATGAAATATAATTTTGTAAGATCTTTTATAATTTCTTTTCTTTTATCAAGTAGTCTATTTTGAACAAGTGTGACGTCGCGTCATGAACATGTGTTTTTTTTTAAGAAGTTAAAATGAAATATTAATTAAAAAGTCCTTTAAGCATAAGGCGTACTAGAAGAACTTCAAAAAAATATTAATACAATTCCATCCAAAACAAAACAATCATAAAATGAAAATCACAACTAAACAATAGTAACTGTAATACACCATAAAGGGTTGACCCTTCAAATCTGATAATCAAAACAAAAAGTTGAATAATGAGATTTCAACCACCAGAAACGCTTGAAGTTTCACCTTTTCACATATAGTCATTAGCGACAAACTTTTATTTTGAAAAACTCGTTGATTCCTTATTTTTCAAATTAACCACACTGTCGCTACCCAAATAATATGAAAAACATTTTGGCACGCTTTCAACCATCCACCCAAAGCCACAAATTGATCATATGATGATCCCTGCATTGGCCATGAAAAACTGACGAAAACCCTAACCAACCAAACAACATCAACCAAATTTTACCAAAATAATCACACTAAACAAACAAATGATCTTGATTCTCATTCTGCCAAAAAGCTATGGAACAATTTTTCCCCTCTGCTATAATAATATGTCTACTAACCAAATTATCTTTCGTCGGAAGTCTATTCCAAAATAACCGCCACACGAAAAGATTTACCTTTAACGACACTACTTTATTCCACCAAACCTGAGAATCACTTAGATGTTGAGCATCAACCAACTTCGTCAAACACTAATTCGCACGACTCACGTTATAACGATTTGAAGAATGGAGTCTCCACACCCAAGTATCGTTCACCGCTTCCTGCAAAATAAATGAATCTTGTTAGTGCGTGAGGCACTTTTAGTGAGGATAGAAAGAAAGAATAATAAAGGAAATAAGGATTATATTATTCACTTGATTTATATTGTACAAAATAAGGCTACACACTATGACTATTTATATACAATCCTAATTGGGCTTAGACTTACACAACTTGGATTATATTTAAATATTAAATCTAATCTAATCTAATCTAATATTTCAACACACCCTCTTAATCCAAGTTGTTGAATGTATGCTAATCATAGTTGATCAGAACTATTCCTAATTTCTTTCTCAAATTCAGGAATTTGTCGATCTTCAATCCTTTGGTGAAAATATCGGCGAACTGTGCTTCACTTGAGCAATGCCTAACTTAAAGTTCCCCTTAGTTTACCTTTTCTCTTAGGAAGTGAAATCTAGCTTCGATATGCTTACTCCTTCCATGCAGAACTGGATTCTTTTTCAGATTTATGATTGACTTATTATTGATTTACAACACAAGAGGTTTCTTCACTTTGACCTCTATTTCTTCAAGTACCGATCTGATTCAAATTGTTTGACATGTTGCATAGGATCCTACTATATATTTAGCTTCACACTATGACAATGCCACCAGAAGTTATTTTTTCGAACACCGTGAGATTGGGGCACCAAATACTTGAAAGAAATATCCAGTTGTGCTTCTTCGATCTTCCTTATCACCACACCAATCAGCATCTGAAAAATAAGTAATTATTACTTCTTTGCTTCTTCGATTATTTCCCATATATTGTTTCTTTTGATTGCCTATAACTCTTTGACCATAGCTAACTTCCACTATTTAATCTTCAAATCTTCCTTATGGTTGATTGATTCAACACCTGCAAGTAAAGCAAAATGAACTAATTCTTCATCTGGTGTGACTTCATCATTATCCACCACTTCATAATCATGAAGTCTTGTTAGAAGAACTCTATTTCGTTGAGGTCTTTGGCTTGTTTCAACCACAGCCTATTTGACTTCGACTATTTTTGGAATGTTAGCAACTGCTTCGACTTTGATTGGAATATTAGCAATTTCTTCGACTTCGATTTCATTAGTTTCTTCGTTGAAACCATAGCTCATCAATGGCTTGTTAATTGCATCATTAGAATTCCAATCCTAGGCAGAATTTTCATCAATCAAAATGTATCGACTTAACACAATCTTCTTATTAACTGGATTGAATAGCTTGTATGCACCTATTTTATGATATCTTACCATAACCATAGGTTCAATCTTGTCATCAAGCTTCATTATTCTCGCATCAGGAACATGTTTGTAACACATAAAGCCAAACACCTTCAAATGACTCACTGATGGTCGTTTTCCACTCCATACTTCTTCAGGAACCTTGTTCTTCAATATCTTGGTAGGGTACCTGTTTAAAATATAAACTGCAGTCGAAACAGCTTTACCCCATAAGGATTTTGGAAAATATTTTGCTTTAGAATGCATCTCTCCATATCCAATATGGTTTTGTTTCTTCTTTCTACAATTCCATTATGTTGAGGCGTATAAGAAATAGTTACCTCGTGATCGACACTATGTTTCGCACAAAAATCTTCAAACATCTTGGATGTGTATTCGCCACCTCCATATGTTCGCAAAACTTTGATCCTCTTATCACTCTGGTTTTCGACAAACATCTTGAATCTCTTAAAGATTTTAAATACTTAGTTCTTTCTCTTGATCACATAGATCCGCAGCTTTCAACTGAACTCATCGACAAACAAAATGAAATATATGTTTCCACCAATGGTATATTATTCGAATGGACCACATACATCTGAACATATCACTTCTAGT